AGATGGATAACTCTATATATTGGTATCTTGTAACATAGTGTACACAGAAATCTTACTTCAACAAGACAAAATAATTGACAAAAACAAAAAACAAGCAATATTCATAAGAGGCCTTTAGACATATAACAAAGAAAAATACACAGCTCAAAGAAAATAAGGGGACACTTAATCATCACATTATAACATAACTTCAGTTAAACTTTGGGGATGTTAATCTGTCCAGAAGCTAAAGCCATTATAGATCAGTGCACTGCAGGGGCAACAGAAAGATAATCCCCCAAAAGGGAATGGTTCAAGAGTGCAATGTGGGGTTCAGTACCTCGCCCAAGGATACTTTGACATGCAGCCTGGGGGATCCAACCACCTCAAGACTGTTCTGCCTACTTGAGCAGCTTTCCCTGCAACACTCCAAGTTTGAGCCCCCACGTGTAAGTGCCTGGGCCCACACTGTCTGCAGCTGCTACCACAACTCATCTCTAAACTTGTGTAATCTTAACCCTGTACTGGCCTCCCTATTTAGTTATTTTGTTTCCAAGCCACCCATCTACAATCCATGGCTCCACTCACATCTCCATCCGGCTGTGTCAGCTGCACCTGTCTGGCTGATAAGATTGCAGAGCTGGATGAATAATCTCCATGCTATACCAAATCTAGGAAGCTGAAAAACTCCAGCACTAACAGAGACAACCTGTGCCTGTGAATTTGATGTCACTGCTCACAGAATCCAGACTCTGATGTCATTGCTCACTGTCATGCTACTGATGCCCCTCCTCTAGTCTCCGTCCAGTTTGGGGCTAGACCTTAAGCCCCGGTCAGCTCTACTACATCCCACCACGAAACACTGGTCCCTGGTCGGTGCTCACTGCAGGAGAGGGAGATGCTTATCTGGTACACCTCCAAACCATGAAATTCAGCAAGATTCAACAATCAAAGCCTGTGCAGCAATATAAAATACTATACGTTGGGACCAGGACAGCATGAGAACTGTCTCCGTCCTGCATAGAATTACACAAGCCTGAGTAAAGTCTGGCTAAAGTCTTTTCACACAAGGAAACCACATCTATGGTCAGACCTAAAACCAGAGCTGAGCAGAGCACCTTGCAAGACTACAGGACAGTTCCAAGAGTGCACCCACATTGCCCCTCGGGGCATAAATAGACACATTTCGCTAAAAACACCCATGTGTCTAATTACAAGCTCACATACAGTGGATAGAAAAAGTCTACACACCCCTGTTAAATGCCAGGTTCATATGATAAAATAATGAGACAAAGAGAAATCATGTCAGAACTTTTCCCACCTTTAATGTGACCTATAATGTGAACAAACTGAAATCTTCGTGGGGGAAAAATGAAAAATAAAAACCTTACAATAACCTGGTTGCATAAGTAACTTTTTCTATCCACTGTAGCTACTAGTATGATTGTAGACTCTATAACATTTAGATCGCAATTCGATGGTTAATGTTAATGTCATTAATAAAATGTTAATGTCATTAATAATGTAATTGTATTACATTTCTATTTTTAATTTATTGGGAGACAGTTTTCTTCTGTATCTGCCATATGTGGGGGTTTTTTTTGTTTGTTTGCAGGCTGTCAGGCTGTCTGATCACAGAGGAAGGCTGTGCATCTCTGGCCTCAGCTCTGAGCTCCAACTCCTCCCATCTGAGAGAGCTGGACCTGAGCTACAATCATCTAGGATACTCGGAGTGAAACTTCTGTCTGCTGGACTAGAGGGTCCACACTGGAGACTGGACACGCTCAGGTATGAAGAGGCCTGCTGCAGCCATAGACAATCAATTAGAAATTAGGTATTTTTGTTGAGTGGTGGATATGAGTGTTATTTGAACAATCACACTTAGGAAGCATTTTTCCTTTGATCAGAACAAAAGCACTGGTGAAAACCTCTCCAGGAACAATCATGATAATTGCCTTTTGGTAATAATTGATTATTCAGTTTGGACAGTTCACGGTTGCTACTATCTGCAGAGGTGACAGAGACTATCTCTGATAAGACTTTGGCGTGAGAATTCTCTAGTTAGGTGTTGTGGTTATTAGCTGAATATCAAAGATATTCTAGATATAGAAGTGTTAATATTAAAAATATTATCATGAATAAATACTGTGCACCACCCTGGAATGTAGGGCCTTGCATTCCTCTGACCAGTCTATGATATCTGATCTAACATGATCTATTGATCATTTACTTTGCTGGCGGCAATCTAAAAACTGCTGTTAATGGCCGCTGAAACTACATATAGCCCCTTTTAATGTTTTTGTAAATCCATTTGTGACTTGATCTGTGTCTGTGAAAAGCAGAAAAGACAAATAATGTTTACATACGGCTAAACAAAATGTATTTTAGTCACCTAAAAGAAGGCACACCGAAAAAATCAATCAGTATGTATCAAGTGTATGTGCTATATTTTCAGCACTCTGTCAGAAAGCAATTTCATTAAGAACTACATTTTTTAACTACAGAACTTCCATATTACTGCACATAAGCGTAACCTGGCCATAAACCGTATAAATAAAATGGCTGTCTGACGGCAAGATAAAGCACAGAAATATTAAACACATATCCAAGGAAGGTTAAATGAAATGGCAACTGGACTTGGTTGAAGATCACAAAGTAGAAATCATCCCTTTTCACTGGGCAAGGATTGTCCTCCTATGAAACTGCTTGATATTCCGGACTCCTAGTAATAATAGTAACTGTCGCCCACTGGCAGAAAGTGAATGTTGGTAACTTAATTCATTTGAACTTGCACTCAGTACTTGGTCGGGTCCTTTTGCTTGAATACTGCATCACGGTGGCACGGCATGGAGGCAATTAGCCTGTGGCCCAGGTTGATTGGAAGCGGCCTTTGGCTCGTCGTATTGTTGGGTCTGGTGTCTCTCATTTTCCTCTTGACAATACCCCATAGATACTGTATGGGGTTCAGTTCAGGCAAGTTGGATGGCCAACCAAGCGCAGTAATACCATGGTCAGCAAACCCAGTTACTAGTCATTTTGCTCTGTGGGTAAGTGCCAAGTCCTGCTGGAAAAGGAAATCAGCATGACTCCAGCCACAGGCCACTCCTTGTGAAGCTCCCTCAAGTTCTTCAGTCAGCTTTCTTGACAATCTCTCAAGGCTGCGGCCATCCATGTTGCTTGTGCACGTTTTCCTACCACACTTTAACCTTCCAGTCAACTTTCCATGAGTATGGCGTTATAAGCACTCTCTGTGAACAGGCAGGCCTTTCAGCAATGACCTTCTGTGTAAGTGTCTCTGGACACTGTCAGTCACATTCAAATAAATTAAATTCAGAGCGAGAGAGAGAGAGAGAGAGAGAGAGAGCCTACACAATATCCACAGAGGTACAGACAGTGAAGGTAATGTTGCTATAGACTAAATGAAAAATGGTACAGATATTTAATAGTGTTAATGGTAACCATCGTAATGTTAATGATTATAATAACAATAATAACAATAAGACTAGCAACAATAGTCGTTGCAGCAGAGGGTGTCGAGCAGGAACACGGGGGCAGCAGGTGACCCGCAACCACAGATCCAGACTCCACAGCTCCAGAGCCAGAAAACCTGCAGGAAGTGATAGGAGAGGGACGAGAAAGCACAAGACTACCAGAAAGGGGAGAAGTTGTGTTAGTAACATGCAATAATGGGATGAGGTTGCATACAGAGGGAGAGAAAGTAGAGGAGAGAGGAGCTCAGTGCATCATGGGAAATCCCCCGGCAGTCTAGGCCTATAGCAGCATAACTAAGGGATGGTTCAGGACTCACCTGAGCCAGCCCTAACTATAAGCTTTATCAAAGAGGAAAGTCTTAAGCCTACTCTTAAATGTGGAGATGGTGTCTGCCTCCTGAACCCAAACTGGAACCTGGTTCCACAGGAGAGGAGCTTGATAGCTGAACGCTCTGGCTCCTAGTCTACTTTTGGAGACTCTAGGAACCACAAGTAACCCTGCATTCTGGGAGCGCAGTGCTCTGGTGGGGTAGTAAGGTACTATGAGCTCTTTAAGATAAGATGGTGCCTGACCATTAAGAGCTTTGTAGGTAAGAAGAATGATTTTAAATTCTATTCTGGATTTTACTGGAAGCCAATGCAAAGAAGCTAAAACAGGAGAAATGTGATCTCTTTTCCTGGTTCCTGTCAGAACACGTGCTGCAGCATTCTGGATCAGCTGAAGAGTCTTAATGGACTTTTTCGAGCAGCCTGATAATAAGGAATTGCAGTAATCCAGCCTAGAAGTAACAAATGCATGGACTAGTTTTTCTGCATCATTTTTAGACAGGATGTTCCTGATTTTCGCAATATTACGTAGGTGAAAAAAGGCGGTCCTTGAAATTTGCTTAATGTGAGACTTAAACGACATGTCCTGATCAAAGATAACTCCAAGATTCCTCACAGTGGTGCTGGAGGCCAGGCGATGCCATCCAGGGAAACTATATCTTTAGATAATGCGTCACGGAGGTGCTTAGGCCCCAGA